AACCTAACTTTCTCATAACTAATCAAACAAAGTATATTAATTTCTTGTTAATTCCAAATATCTATTTTATATTATGTCCGTATGATCTTAAACAAGTAGATTAGTAAATTTAATAAAGTAATTAAGTCGTGGTTAGAGTCACTCTCTTCAGCAAGTTGAATAGGTCTTCATTAAGGTATTGAGTGAGGTTATTTTTCTAATATTTTTATTTAATAATTATAAAGTTGATTATGTATTGATTGGAAAGAGTTTTACAGTAGAGATTCCAAATAAAAATTATTATTTAAAAATGAAGAAATAATTCTTCTATTTTCGAACATTGATTAATAATTAGTTTTTTTATTTGTAATCTGAGTTAAAATTCATTAGGTGTTTAACAAATTAAATAATTTATATGATTCAAAAAGGTAGGTAAGAAAGATTATTTTTATTAATATTTGAAACCAAGTAATTATTATATCTTTTATATTATTTTTTAGCCATTTTGTTAGAGGATAAAATTGATCAAAATTAAATTTTAAATTATAATATTTATTTTAAAATAAGAATGATTTATAAATAATTAATATTATATTAACCTTATGATAATTTTGTAATTCATATAAACTTTATTTTTTTTTTATTCACCCATTTTATTTATTTATAGCCAGTTTTAAATAGTTTTATGACCTCTTAATTACCGTCTTACTTTTTAGATCACAATAACACTTCTATTTAGCTATTATTTTTTTGTTATTTTTAAAAAACTCTTGTGATGTAAAGTTACTTTTTGCAACTATGGATATTTTATTGCTTTATTTTTTATACTACAATTGCATGCTAGGTTGATCGGGACTTTCACTGGCCTAAGGACAATTCTTCATCGTAAAAAAGAAGAAGCAATTTTTACTTTGTTGATATTTTTTGTCGCTTTTAAGAACGTATGTATTAAAAACCTTCTTTTTGCATTAGCTTTCAAAAGCTGTTTTACTCATAATAGTTTTATAACTATCTTTATAAAAAAGTTCAGTCTTTCTAAAAAGATCCTAAAGTTCCGTTTGGGATGATTTTCTTACTATTTCTTAAAATAAATTTTTAGTACAAAAAATATAAATTTTGTACTAAAATATTGCTTTAAAGCTTCGTTTGTAACAACTTCTTATTACTTCTTAAAACAACTTTCTAGTTAAAAAATTTTAATTTTTGTACTGGAAAGCTATTATAAGAAGCATTAAGATAGCCATCCCAAACTAAGTCTAAGAAGCAGTAAGAAAGCCGTACCAAATAAAACCTAAATTTATTAATATGTGGTACCTGTAAAAAAAGTTAATGCCTTATTTTTCAAAAGTAAATATATTTATAATATTCATAGCAGCTTTTAAATATATATATATTTTTCCACAATAGCTCCAAATAAATCCTTAGCTAAATTATTTAATTCTTTATACACAATGTCCCCTTATTTGAAAAATAAAATAAAAATAATGAAACTATTTTTTTTAATGGCAAAAATATAAGACAGGAATGCCAGTTGTATGGCGTATCTATCCTCTTAATAATTAATAAAGATTTTTAAGATTTTGTTAAACAGGAAATCAAAAGCCATATTTCTTTGGGGTCTTCGATATTAATTATATTAAATGTTTGGCTAATCAAATAAAAATATTTTAAATTGCAGTTATTGCAGTCGCAATAATATAATCGGCTCCGAGCCTCCAAATTTTATGGGCGTGCTGACCATTTTGCTTTTATTAATTAGTGTAATATTCAATAATTATGATTTGAATTGTGATTTAGGCTTAATTAATATAATTAAAGTTGAGTCATTAGTGTGCCAATTGTAATATTCAAATAAAATTTGACTCGACCTTTCACTATAAAAAATGAGTCAATAACAACAAAACAATATAAACAAAAAGAAAATGAACGTTAAAGATGATTAATCATTCAATTTCTACAAAATGTATGTTAAAATTGCTTTGAATTTGGCTCGACCCATATTTGTTCATATCATTGATCATCATATGCTTCGCAGATATGTCGGGGTCTAAGGGGGCAACGCCCCCTAGCGGGATTAATAAATAAAAAGATGAATTCTCTTTACTATTTCTCTTTGTATTTGGTTTATCGTTTCCTAACAATAACACATATACAAAATGTGTTTAATTATGCTAGGGGCCAATTGCATAAAGGCCATAATATTTTAAAACTTTTAGGATGAGCAATTGGCCCCATTGGGCTTAAGAAGGACCCACCCATGGATGTAAATATCTTCATTTTGTATGATGATCAAGTACATGAAAATTTTATAAAGAAAAAAAAAGTTTATGAGGCATGGTTCAATTGAAATGATTTCATGATGAAAGTCTCAGAGCTTTGATACATTAAAGTTGTCTTCTAGAGATTTTGATGATTTGTTCGATCATTCTTATTTAACTAGAGGAAACTAATGACAAAGAAGTTAAGTATAAATTTTGGTGTCAATGTAATGAGTCAAAGTTAGTATTGACGGTGTTCATTGGCTTTATAAATGATGGGGTGTGTTGATTTTATTAAAAATGACGACCGATGAAGACAACGGACATTGACACTTATGACAATGATGTGCATTAATCTTGTCGCAGGCTAGAATATTCATGGCGTAAAGTAGGTGAATTTTTCGTCTTAGTGATGAACAGATATTCGACACACAAATTGATAGTTGAAGGGAAAGCATAAAAACATCAATATTTTTGTTACATGGAAAACCCTAAGAGATAAAAACTATAGGGCCTCGCCCGGGCGAAAAAAATCCACTAAATTTGATTGAATTACAAAGGTTGACTTATCTCTTAACTTAGAGGTGGTAGAATTACAATAGTTTGGAGAGTTGGGCGGAAGTCCGATGGCAATCAGGCAGAAGTATGACATCATTCGAGCGAAAGTCTAGTGGAGTAGAAGTTCCGGCAATGATCGGTGGTCGAGTGGAAGTATGACGGTAGTCCAATGATGGTTGGGCAGGAATTTGGCGGCGGTTGATTGTCTGGTGGAAGTTCGAGACGGCGATCGACAACGTGGCTGTGGTTCAATGATGGTCGGGTGGAATTTTGGTGGCGGTCGGCGGTTGGGTGGAAGTCTGGCTGTGGTTTGACAACTGTCAGTGGTCGGGTGGTAGTTCAGCAACAGTGGTGCCTGAGTGGAGCTCTTGAAGCTTCAGAGCTCTCTCAAACCTCTAGCAAATGGTCCCTCACACATAGAGTGCGAGCATCTATTTATAGATTTTCATGAGTGGCGCTCCTGTAAATATGAAGAAGATTCAGGGCATATTCAGAGTGCTCCATCGGACAACCCATACTAATTCCCACAAGCATGGAACATTTTTCAAGTATTTATGTGCTTTAATGTCTCGATTTAAATGATCTTGGGCAAGTTGGGTTTGTCTCGTTGAGTCGCTCTATTCAATTATAAGCTAGCCATGTTTAGAGATCATTTGGTCATCAAATTAAAAGCTTTGAACCTTTCAAATATGCTTTGGAATCTTGATTTGTACTCATTTGGGCTTGGATAAGGCCGATTTCAGTGTCATTAGATTTGTCGTTTTGAGATGTTCGGTTTGACTATAAATTTCTTGAAATCAAAATTTAAATGGTCTGAAGTTTAATTTTGAAAGTTTCTAACTCGAATATGCCTTAAGATTTGTGCCCAATCAAAATAGTTTTTTGTGATGTATCAAATCTTATACATAATGGCGTACTTCAATATTGTTGGTGATGGTAGGCCTACGCATTTGTGTTTGACAAAGTGGACCGACCTTATTGGTGATCATGTGTGTCGATGTTATTAGTGATGACAAGTGTTGGTTTTTTAAGAATTTTTTGGGATTTTTTTTTTTTCAAATCTTTTCCAGATTTTTTTTTTTTTGAATTTTAAAAGATAAAATTGATTATTTCTATATAAAATAATATAAAATTTAATTAATAAAATCAATTATTCCTTGAATACTAAGGGGTAGGACCCTCATGTGAGCAAGGGGTGGGTAAATCGCGCACCTGGCCTGCTGTTCATTCGGGCCTATCTCTAGTGACCGCAGGGCAGTTCCACCTCCAAAAAGTGTTCATGTCATATTTTTGGCTTGTACAATCCAATTTGGACATTTTGGAATCGTCAGAATTATTTTTTAACATTCCATACTCAATTTTGGCCATTTGGAAGCCCAACGGAGCCTCTAAAGTTAGTTTCAAGCTATTTCAAAAGTTTTGATGATAAATTTTTTGAAACTTTGTGTTCTGATCTCCACACAGTCTATGGAATGCTGGAATTATGATTGGTGATATTTTACTTGTTTCATGGACTCAAGGGAAGGTCCACATCAACACCTAGAGGGATGTCATGCTTCATAATATGCTTGATACTAAAAGTTAGTAAAGCAATTTTTTAAAATTTCCTACATATGTTTTTTGAGTCCCCAAGCTATAACATCAAAAAATATAAGGGCAATTGATATATCACAAAATGAATTGGCTTGATCAAGTATGAATTTGGAGGCAAATCTATGCAAGAAAGCTTTTAAATTAAAATATGAATTGTCCAAGCTCCGATTTTAACAAACTTATAATCGAATTGAACATCTTGAAGAGACGAACCAAACAACATCAAAACCAGACCAATCTAAGCCAAAATGTGCCAAATCAAGGGTCCAAATTATGATTGGAGGCTTCAAAGAATTAATTTGATAACCAAATGATCGTCGAATATGGCGTGCTTATAATCAAATTGAGCAGCTCGACGAGACGATTCCAACGAGGCCAGGATCATTTAATTCCAACATCATTAAAACACTTAAACACTCGATAAACAACCTATGATCAATGAGATCGATATCAGCTATCCATTCAAACACTCCCAACTTCATATTGACCTCCTCCATATTTACAAGTCATGCCACTCTAAAAAAATTATAAATATATATCTATTCTTCACATAAGAGAAGTAAAAAAAAGAATAGAGGAGATAGGAGGAAGAAGAGAAAAATTGGAGAGTTTTATCCCAACTACCAATTTCTCATAAATAAAAAATACAGTTTAGAAGGGGTCAAAAAAAAAAAATGCTGCGCAGAAGGGGCCGGGACTAGGCCCAATAAAGCGAAGCCCGCGTGCGTTCTATTATACCACGTCGACACGCCACCGGGTCCCATCGCACGTGTTCCTGCTCCACCTTTGCATCCTTAACCCGGAACCCTATATATTTCCTTACCATTACGGAGCTCAGAAAGCTCAATCTACCAAATCAGACCCAAACTCTTCTGTAAAAGTCCAATCCTCGCTACCCCCATCGAATTTGTGTTCGTTCTATCGATTACCGTTCATCAATTGCTCGCTCCATCATCTAATCCAGAAGGAGAATTGAAGCTATCGGATCTCCATTCGATGCGTCCGAGCTTCATCGACTCCTCCGGCGCCTTCAGCGAATGCAACAGCGACCGTTCCGGCGAGTTCTCATCCCCCGGATCTCCCATCAACGGCGCCGGATCCGACTCGGTCGGCGGCTCTGCCGCCGCTCTCCATCGTCTTCTCATTTCCTGCGCCGCCGACAACTCCGATGAGGTCATCAGTTCCCTAATCGCCGATCTGGATTCTCCATCCGCCTCAATCGATCAGCAGCGCCACGCGGCCCTGGAACTCCGGCTACTCGCCAAGCACAACCCTGATAATCGCCTCAAGATCGCACGCGCAGGTGCAGTCCGCCCTCTCGTTTCTCTCCTCTCCCATCCCGACCCCATCCTTCAAGAAAACGGTGTAACCGCGATCCTCAACCTCTCCCTTTGCGACGAGAACAAAGATCTGATCGCCGCATCCGGCGCCATTAAACCCCTCATCCATGCGCTAAAAGTCGGAACCCCAGCCGCGCGTGAGAACGCCGCTTGCGCCCTCCTCCGCCTTTCGCTGATCGAGGAGCATAAGGTCACAATCGGGCGATACGGCGCCATCGCGCATCTCGTGGATCTTCTCCAGAACGGCACCCCCCGCGGGAAGAAGGACGCCTCCACCGCGCTCTACTCCCTGTGCTCCACTAAAGAAAACAAGATCCGGGCCGTCAAGGCAGGGATCATTCGCCCCCTTCTCGATCTGATGTCTGATTCGGAGTATGGAATGGTCGACAAGGCCGCGTCTGTTCTCTATGCCATCGTCAGCGTATCGGAGGGCCTCGCCGCCGCTGTTCAAGAAGACGGAATCCCAGTTCTCGTTGAACTCGTCGAGATCGGAACCCCGAGGCAGAAAGAGATCGCGGCCTCAACACTTCTTCTGATCTGCGAGCAGAACGTTCAGTACCGTTCCATGGTCGTTCGAGAAGGCGCCTTTCCGCCGCTCATCGCCATGTCTCAATCCGGCAGCTCCCGTGCCAAGCAGAAGGTTGGTTTCAGTTATGCGGTTTTACGATTCTCTTAACGCCGTTAAGTCTAGCGTTGCAATTAAGCTATTAATCATCGCGTCGGTTTAATGGCAGGCGGAGGCCCTCATCGATCTGCTAAGGCAGCAAAGGTCGGCGCCTAGCGGCTGAGGACACGTGTCGGTTTTCAGAGAATCTACGACGCCATTAAAGTAGGCCACCGCGTGGGCCGTGTAGAGATATTCCATAGCCAGTGAGTGTACATTTCTATAGAGCTATTGCCCGCTTAATTAACGTCTTAGCTTCTGTTTTCAGTTTTTGGGAATGTGCATCCTTTTTTATTTGGTTTTAATATCCTTTTTCAAAAGGTTTACAATATATTTTTTTTGTTTGGATTTCTGATTGGAAAAGAGGATTTTTTTTTTTGAACTGTATGGTGAAGGTAGATATGAAGTGGGGTTCAAGGAAGGAATCCCATGGCTGTGGGTTCCATAGCCCGTTTTGTGTTAATATAAAGTTGTTTTACCACTAATAAAGTAGAGGATATGTATCTAAACAATTAAGATTTTTATTTCAATATTCTTAAAACTAATCTAAAGCTACATAAGGAGATTTTTTTTGGGTCATTTAGTCAATTAAAGATAACTCATACATACCTCGTGTGCGTGTGTGTATATATATAGAGAGAGAGGTGAGAATCGAATTCAAGACCTCTTGATTAATAATCAAAGCTCTCAATCAACAGATTAATATGGGTTGCAAGCTATATAACGAGATAGGTTTGTTAGTAATAGAGCTTTTATTTATTCACAACCATTTATGCGTTGGAGAGATCGTTTCTTATTTTGTGCCGAAGCAATCTTTAAAGCGCAAGCCGAAACGGGTGAAATTAAAGGACATTACTTGAATGCAACTGCGGGTACATGTGAAGAAATGATCAAAAGAGCGGTATTTGCCAGAGAATTGGGAGTTCCTATCATTTATATGTATATCTATTCACCATTGGCTCGTCTAGTAGTAAAAGCGCATGACTACTTAACTGGGGGGTTCACCGCAAATACTAGCCTGGCTCATTATTGCCGCGACAATGGTCTACTTCTTCACATCCATCGCGCAATGCATGCAGTTATTGATAGACAGAAAAATCATGGTATGCATTTTCGTGTACTAGCTAAAGCATTACGTATGTCTGGCGGAGATCATATTCACGCTGGTACAGTAGTGGGTAAACTGGAAGGGGAACGTGAGATGACTTTGGGTTTTGTTGATTTGTTACGTGATGATTTTATTGAAAAAGATCGAAGTCGTGGTATTTTTTTTTAACTCAAGACTAGGTCTCTATTCCACGTGTTTTGACCTTGGCTTCATGGGATATTCATGTTTGGCATATATCTGCCCTAACCGAAATCTTTGGGGATGATTCCGTACTACAGTTTGGTGGAGGAACTTTAGGGCACCCTTGGGGAAATGCACCCGGTGCAGTAGCTAATATATATACACACACAAATATGTATTTACCATATCCACGGGACCATGAAGAAACACTTGTTGTAATATTTACTATTTTTTATTTAAATTATAACTAATCTAACAACAAGCAATAATTCCATAATTTTTTATATGTACTAAAATTTATATCACTAAAATATTATATATATTATAAAGAAAAGTTATGCATAGGTTATAAATGTATTTTTTTATAAAATTAATGCATAAATATTTAAAATGAAATAAGATAATCATAACATTATGTGTAATATGTGTAGAGGTATTAGATTTGACTTATTTTAAGAAAGGAAAAGGTAGACCTAGAAATACTTGATTATAAAATATTAAAAACATTATTTATTAGATTTAAACGAGAATTTGACTTTTAACTTGACAAAAAAAAAAAAAAGAGAGATTCATGTAGCCGCCCCACGTACTAAAATAAAGTCTTGATATTGTTGTATAACTTATAGAATATAAAATTTACTAATTTATTAAAAATAAATATTAATGATACATCTTCAAAAAATTATCTTGATTGGGCGCGAATCTTGAGGAAAAATCAAGTTTAAAACTTTCGAAATTAAAATTGGGACAAGCAAAACTCTGATTTCAGCAAACTTATAGTCAAACTGAACGTCTTGAAAATATATACGAACCTAACAACACCAAATTTGACTCAATATGAGCCCAACTGGGTCCAAATCAAGGGCCCGAAGCGCTGTTGGAAGGTTCGAACCACAATTTCGATTTCCAAACGATTTCCAAACGTGGCATGCTTATAGTCGAATCGAGCGACTTGATGAGACAGATCTAATGAGCCCAAGATCATGGAATTCTGACATCATTAAGACCTTTAAATGTCTAGCGAATTGTCTATGATCAAAGAATTCAATATCGATCGTCCATCCAAACCACTCCCCATTTATCCTTGATCTTCCTTTTATTTATGAACCATGTCACTCTATGAAATTTATAAATAGACCCCTCATTCCTCTTGAAATAGACCCCTAAGCTTAACTATAAAAGAGATCTATTAGAGATCGCTCTTGCCTCCTAGCCTTCTCGACCACCGCCAGAGTTCTGCTGGACCACCACCTGACACCCTGAGTTCCACCGGATCACCTCCTGATGCTCGGAGTTCCACAGGACTAATACCTGACACCCGGAGTTCCCCAGGACCACCATCTGACGCCTGGAGTTTCATAAGACCACCACCTGACGCCCGGAGTTCCGCAGGACTACCACCTGACTCCTTGAGCTCCATCGAACCACCACGAGATGCCCGAAGTTCTGCCGGACCACCACCTGACACCCGGAGTTCTGCAGGACCACCGTATGATGCCCAAAGTTCCATAGGATCACCACCTAACTCCCGGAGTTCCGCCAGACCACCACTTGACAATCGAAGTTTTTCCAGATCATCTCCTGACGCCCGGAGTTCTACCGGGCCATCACCTGACGTCTCGAGTCTTGCCGGGCCATCACGTGATGTTCGGAGTTCTGCCAATCCATCATCGTACTACCAACTGACGCCCGAATTTCCAAATTACTCCAGACTTCCGACGGACCACCAAGTGACGCCACATTTTCATCCCCATTTGTCACTAGATTTTAACTATACAGATGACATTTGTAATATGACCGCCCTAAAGGACGAGTCAGTCCACTGTAATCTACTCTAATTCAAGTGGAATCATTTTTAACTGTACTAGGCCCCGTGATTTTTCCTCTTTTCAAGATTTTACACGTAAAAATCTTGTGTTCTTTGTATGTGAGCTGGATATCTGTATAATGCTAAATGTATGATTATAACTATATTGCCGCAACAATTAATATTGTTGAAATATTAAAATATTATTTCACTATAAATCATTGAATGAAAAGGTTAAAAAGTCACCTCCGTCTATGCATGCATATGTACTAATTATATGCATATTTTTATAAAAATTTTACATGGTTATGTTTATTCTATAATATTTATATGATTTTTTCAGTGGATTTTATATTCGTCAACATCTTAAGTTTGACTTATTAATTTAATGAGCAAAATACAAAAACAAAATTTTAGGCCATTCAAGTCGAGCAAAATAATACAAATTCTTTTGACTTTGACTCGTTTACTTTTCTAAAAAAACAAATACATGAAGTTGTTACATTCATTATCGATTATTATTTTTTTAAATTTATTTTTGATAAAATTCAAAAAGTCAAAAAGAATGAATTGATGTGGGAGGAGGTAGGATGGGATTAGTTGGATGAAAAAATTGGCTAAGGATATCACGACCGAATTTTATGTATAATAGATATCTAAGTTCTTAAATTTATTTTAACATAATAGTAATATAAATTATTTAAGTATTATAAATATCTCGAAATAAATTCATTAACTTAAAAGATTCAATCAACATCCCGAAATAAAATCGCCTTGATCGAACACAAATCTCGATGCAAATATGATTTGGGAGTATCAAAACTAAATTTGAGATAATCCAAACTTCGATTCCAGCAAGTTTATAGTCAAATTGAGCATCTAACAGAGACAAACTCAATGAAACCAAATTCATTTCAATATGAGCACAAATCAAAAGGATCAAAGCTTATTTGAAAGCTTCAAAACATTTATTAGATGACTAAACTATATATGAATATGACATGATTATAGTTGATCAGTCAAGTGGCACGATGAAACAAATCCAACGAGCCTAAGATAGCAAAAGTATGTCATCATTAATGCTCTAAATGTTTAATAAACACTATATGATTAAGGGAATCAATATGAGTTATGTCAATTGAAATAAAAATCATAAAAAAAGGGAATTAATATGAGTCATGCGATGTAACAATCCAAAATTGCCCTAAATATACTCTATATTTGCTGAACATGTCATTCTCAAAAAACTATAAATAGAGCCCTATTCTTTGGGCTTGAAGAATCTCGAAGCTCCACCTCGACACCGCAACCTACAAATCCTAGCCACTAGGTCGCCGCTACTAAACCTCTTCCCGACCATCGCTGGTGGGCCTCCATTTGGTAGGCACTGTCGGACCTTCCTCCAATCACTGTCAACTAACAACTACGGTCCCTCTGACCACCGTCGTCAGACTACGATCCTTTCGACCTCCACCACCCATTGACTTTGTCCTTCCGATCACGTTGCCAGACTATAGTCTTTCAAATCTCTGTCATCCATTAATTACGATCCTTTCAACCACCATTGTTAGACTACGATCCTTTCGGCCACTATTGCTAGATTATAGTCCTTCCAACCTCCGTCGCTTGCCAACTATAACTTTTTCTGATCATTATTATCCAATTATGGCCCTACTGAACAAACTAACAGATCAATATTTCTCTTGAAAGCAACCCTCATGTCATCAGATCCTCCCAACTTCAACTATATAATAAGCTCAATGCAATGTATATTTGTTTTATTGAGACAACACCTTCCTCACGAGAATAACATCATTTGTAATCAATTATCAACACTAGTTGAAGCATTTCCACTATACAAGGCCCCATAGTTCTTCCATCTTTTGAGAGTTTTCCATGTAAAACTTCAGGTGTCTCTTATGAATAATGTACCCTACTCTTTTATCTATTTGTGTGCTAAATCTTCGTACTAAGCTAATGCGCTAAACTTTGTATTTCTCTACAGCCGCGAATGTTCCAGGACGCAACATACAGGATTCTTATTTTAATTCATATATGAACTTAACTTACAAACTTGAGATTATCTTTATAATTATAAATGCCTTTGGGATGATCTATATGCATGGTTCCTTCAAGATCCCTATTTAAAAAAAAAAGTTATTTTTACTTCCATTTGATGTTGCGCCAAGTTAAAATATACAACAATAACCATGATTATCCTCAAGTAATCTTTCTTCAAAGCTAGCAAAAATATTTCATCATAACATATGCCTTTCTTTTAAGAAAAAACAATTGGCAATAAGTCTAGTTTTGTATGGTTCAATATTACTTAAAGGAATATCTTTTTGGCTTGGTGAAGCACTTATATAACCAATTGCTTCAACTCATTATCACAATTCAATATGATTTTAGACTTGATTCTTATCAAATACACATAACAAAATAAATATATCTCCATCCATGACTTAAAAATGATATGTTCATTATTAAGTTTGAGGGTTTGAGGTGGCTATAGCGTTTTATAAAATTGGTTGTGAAGTTGCTATGGAGAATGCAACTTCGTTCTTATGGTTTCAAAAAATAGCTTTCCACTATAGAGTTTTGAAAAAAGTAGTGAGAAAGCAACAACCAAATGCTGAAAAGCAAATCATTAAAAAAGCTGTTCCAAACAAACACTAATTTAAAAGTCAATTCTTTTAAATATACAATGCGAGTACTAGAAATTGTTGATTTTTTTCATCTTGTTCTTCTTGGGGTGGTAGTTCATGGATTTCTTGCCCTTCAAAGTGAATGAAGAAAAGTTTTAGAAAATAGTTAATTCAACATCTTTTATTTCATTTATCAAGTCACGCTCAAAATTAAGTGGTAATGATGGTTGGCTTATTGTTTGACTTTAATTAGTAGCAAGTCCTCAATAATAATTACTCTATCTTTTAACTAATCATTTGGGTTTTGTTCACATAGGTTTCGTTTGGGACAGCTTTCTTTCTGCTTGTTAAAACAACTTTTCACTAAAAAACAGAAAGAAAGCCGTCCCAAACGAAATCTTAGTCTTACCTTTTATTCTTGATAATTAACTCTAACAAGTTACTTTTTATGATAGTTTAATAACAAAACTAAATTAAAGAGAGGAAAGAATGACAATAGCTATCATAATTAATGTTTAAGAGTCAGTTTGGGATGATTATAGCTTTTTATTAATGTGAGTTGTAAAGTTGTTGTGTGAAAAATAAATTTTCTGAAAGCTACATTTAAAAATAGCTTCCTAGCACAAAAATTTATTGAAAGTTGTAAGAAAGCAGTAACCAAATAAAAATCATGATTGTGGTACAAAAATCAAAATAGTAAGAAAGTTATCCTAAATATACCTTAACTGGTCAACTTATTAAAGATTATGATTTTGTTTGAGGCAGTTTATGCATTTAAGCTCCTTTTTCAACCACA